ATGCTCTCGCCTGGGGTTGGTTGTGGTAATCCAGTGTGCAACGAGACTTGTTGAGCTACAGCTTTGACTCGCTTGAGTTGAGTATGAATCGCTTGCTTGGGTTCCTGTGTATTTTATGACCCTGTCAGTGACTTCCCCCCCTCCTCCCCCGAGTGTGAACTTGTAGCATGATTGTACAAACCTCTGTGTAGAAAACGGAGATTCCTTGTTCTCTGAGATGTTAAGCTCTAGCCAATCAATGTCTGTCCCCTCTAGCCTAGTATGTCTGAACTTCATTTCTTGTTATATATTTAAACTTTTCCTCTATACTCTAGGTTTTGTGACCTCCCATGGTCAGGTGGAGAGGAAGCTACCCCCTATGGAACTGTACTATCACCCACTTTTCTTTTTAAAATATTATTATCACAGGACTGATTGTACACAGGGCTTGTAATAAAATGTTAACACTGTGCTGTGAAACCATAATGGTAAATCTCCATTGAAGGCGACTTCAAAGGCACCGCAAAGTGGAGTGTTACATCTATGACTTTATTTCTTGCTTCCTGAGTATATTAAACCTAATTTTCACCCTTTCATTCTGTTTCAGCCTCCTGTATAAGAAGTACCATATTTTCTGCCCATCATACTTTGTAATAAAACTTGAACATGTATAGATTGACTGAATTTCTTCTTGTGATGAATTCAGTTCTTCCCATTCTGCCACTGTGGTCATGTTCCAGAGATACTGGCTGGGGGATGGGAGTCCACCCCAGCCCATCTCACTATCTGACAGCCTGAGTCATCCCTTTTAATAAAACACAGAGCACCTATTCTGTGCTAGGGGCCATGACCCTCAAGTTGCTTGCAGTCTCCCAGATAAACAATTCCTGGCAATATTGTGCGACACGGGTGTGTTTAGGCTTACTGGTTGCCCTGAGGAGGAGGTGATCCCCTACGTCTGGGTAGGAGCCAGAGGAGGTCAGGGAAAACTTCACAAGACAAGGGATGTTCAAGCTGAGTTTTGAAGGCTGAGTAGTTGTCTGGGAATAGGGAAAGATACTTAAAGCAGAGCGAACATCCATGTACAACACTATAGAGGCAAGAAAGAATATGGCCATATTCAGAGAATTATAAGTTGATGTGGGGTTTTGAATGGGGAATGATGGGGAGTGTGACTAGAGAGGTAAGCAGGAGCCAGATCAGGCAGAGTCTTTTGTATGAGACTTTGGAAAACGCACATAGAGGGAAGTCATGCTCAGAATTGCACTTTAGGAGTCAGTGAAGAGAATGCCTGAGTAGGGGGTGAAACAGGGAGGCAGTTCACTTATTGTAATAGTCAGGACGAGAAGAAGTAAAAGCCTGACCTAAAGCAGGAGCAGGAGGGGAGGAGAGGATGGGGCATAACTGAAGAGATTTAAGAGACAGGGTAGTCAGGATGCAGTAAACTATTGGCTCTGAAGGGTGACAAACGATAACTCCCAGACCCTGTGTGTTTGGACACCAGGTTCTGATCACTGGCTAGGGTTTCCAAGTCCAAGCCAGTTTCCTCAGCCTACGCCCCAACGTGGTAAGATGGAGGAGTGCCTATCCCCACTGCTATTCAAATGCTCTAAGTCCTGGTTGAATACTCCCTCCGTTTATTTTTATTTTCATTCTGGATTCACATTTAGTCATTTCAAGGGAAAAGAAGAAGGGCAAATTGTGACTGATTCCGTGAGCCAGTATTCGGCAAGTAACTGCCATCGTGTCAGAAGCATTGAGCTGGGGGTGGCAGTAGGCCTGGGGAAAAGTATGTCCTCTAAGAGTTTATGGGGCGCCTGGCTGGCTCAGTCAGTAGAACACGCAACCCTTAATCTCAGGGCTGTGAGTTCAAGCCCCACGTTGGGTGTGAAGCCTACTTAAAAAACAAAAGACCACTTCCAAGAGTTTAGACTCTACGTGGCAAAATGAGCACCTGATGGCTCTGTTAGAACTGTGCTATATGGTCGACAACATGTATGGGAAATAGGAGATTCCTATTTTAAGGGGAGCTCTGGGAGAGTCATACTGGCGATATTCATCTTGCTAGCCTGGGCTAAGCTGCAGTAACCAACCCCCACATCGCAGAGACTGAACACAACAAAATTTTACTTTTTGCTTATGTGAAGTCCTTTCGAGTTTGGTCAGCTACATCATCCAGAACTTGTGGCCTCCAAGGTTGCTTAGAAGGGGAAACTATGTGAGGAGTAGTTTTGCCCATATCTACCAAATTTAGTCACATGATTCCAACCTAACTGCAAGGACACTTAAGAAAGATAAATCTGCCTGTACACCTAGGAAGAGGAGATAAAGTGGCGGATGAATAGTTCTGTCTCTGCCACACCCATCAGATTAGCAAACAAGCTCATTGTTAATGGTTTCAATGATCCTGAAAACCAGGCTCTAGAGATAGTTGAGTCATCTGTGAATTTATCTTGAATATTAGATTGAGAAAGTAAAATTCTGCCCTGCTGTTCGTCACAGATAGACACATAAAACCAGTTGCAAAGTTAATAGGAAGCAATATTTCTTCCAAGCACACCTGCAACTTAAAGTGTTATAAAATTCCCTTCTCTGAGTGACTGCTTTTCTTTTTTTTTAATTCACTGAGAAACTTTGTTCTCTAATATCAGAGACTCCTGTTTGAAATTGTATCAGGGAGAATGAAGACTTACAGTCTTGCTTGGAGAATCTAAGTCACTCTTGACAGAGAAGCAGCCTTGATTTCCAACCCAGGTGTAGAACTTCAGAGCAGGTATTTCTGAACACGGCACTCCCCATTTAGCTTTGTAGTTGGCACAGAAACTGAACTTGGTCTGTTTGCAGTCCAGAGCTGATGTTGACCCACTTCTCATACAGCTCTGTGTTCCGTTGAGCCTATCAAACTCTATTTCATTGAAATTTCACCTAACCTCCACCTTTCCCCACAATCCTATAATAATTATCTTTTCCTTTGGTGAGACCCCCCCACCATCCTTCCAGTGTGGAATTTCCCTTGTTGGACTGAGTCTGTAGCCTGACTTTGTTGAACTGCAGGTTTGCCCTGGTAGACTTAGGCTGCTTGGACTAGGGCAATCTCAGACTTTGCTTTGGCCTTCATGCTTATTTGTGATTATAAATTCCCTTAATTTTCTTTTTGCTATTCAAAGTTACATATTAAACTATATTTTTATTTTTATTTATTTTTTTTTTAAAGATTTTATTTATTTATTAGAGAGAGACAGCGAGAGCAGGAACACAAGCAGGGGGAGTGGGAGAGGGAGAAGCAGGCTTCCCGCGGAGCAGGGAGCCCGATGTGGGACTCGATCCCAGGATCCTGGGATCATGACCTGAGCCGAAGGCAGACGCTTAACGACTGAGCCACCCAGGCGCCCTAAACTATATTTTTAAATGACAAAAAAGTAATACTATATATGAATAGCTAGTAAGCACATGAAAAGATCTTTGACATCATTAGTCATGAGGGAAATACAAATCAAAAGCACAATGAGATATCACTTTATACCCACTAGTGGCGACAGCTATAGTCAAAAAGAGATAAGTGTTGGCAAGGATGTGGAGAAAAGTGGAAACCTCATGCATTGCTGGTGGGAACATAAAATAATGCAACTGTTTTGGAAAACAGTCTGGCAGTTCCTCAAAAGATTAAACTGAGTTACTATACAACCCATCAATTCCACTCCTAGGTATATACAAGAGAAACAAAAACATGTCTATACGAAAACTTGTATTTGAATGTTCGTGACAATATTATAATAGTCAAAAGGTGGAAACAATCCAAGTGTCCATCAACTGATGAATGGATAAATAAAACATTGTAGCTTCATGGCATTATTGATATTATTTGGCAATAAAAGAGGGATGAAGTACTGATACATGCTATATCAATGAACCCTGAAAACATCATGCTAAAGAAGCTGGTCACAAAGGACCACATATTGTATGATTCTATTCATGTGCAATGTTCAGAATAGGCAAACCCATAGAGGAAGAAGTAAATTGGTAGTATCCCAAGACTGAGAAAATTGGGGGGAAATGGTGAATGACTGCTAATGGATACAGGGTTTCTTTTTGGGGTGACTAAAATGTAAAATTGATTATGGTGATGGTAACTCAAACCTCTGAATACATATACTAAAAACCATTATACACCTTAAATTGGTGACTTGTATGACGTGAATTATTTCAATAAAGCTGTTATTAAAAAACAAAAAAACAACTATGCTGGACACAGGGGTCGCGTCCTGCTCTCAAAAGAATTTAATATTGTGGCGGAGACAAACATTTTTAGGTAAGTGCTAAAGTACAGGCGAGTATGAAGAATCATGTGAGCACAAAGTAGGGCATCTGAGCCCAACTGGAGAATTAGGGGATGTTTTCCTTTGGTGGAAAATGATGTCCGAACTGAATCTTGAAGGAAAAAATTTAGCGAGGTGAAGTGAAGTGGAACAAGGATCAGCAAAGACCCAGGTTTGTGCTGAATACAGGAACTTGGAAAAGTACAAGAGCAATCTGATGTTTCTAATACGGCAAAGTACAAGGAGGAGAGTGCCGAGCCCATCACAAAGTAGCTTGGATAATAAACAACAACAATAATAAAGTCCTAAGTGAACTATAAGTTAAAGCTAAAAATTTGAGTTGGACTGTAATAAAAGTCGCCCCCACCTCGGCCCAGGCTCTGCACAGGTGCGAGAAAGGAGCAAAGTACCGTGCGGCGGAACGGATTTTTCGGGCGGTGGGGGCGCGTTTCTGGAACGGACCGGGGAAAGGAAGTGTGCTACATTATCTAAGGCACCCGCGCCCGGCTTCCGCGGATTTGGTATTGGGACGGTCGCGTCCGGGCGTCCGGGCGCCCGGGCCTGGCCTGAGCACTTGGGTCTCTGGTGAGGGGTAGAGGCGGCCGCAGGCTCAGGACCTGCTCGTTTCCGCCTCGGACGCCACGGGCTGACCTTGGCCGCTGCTCGTTGGCTGTTCTTGCTGACCTTGGTCCAGGGTCGGAGCCGATGGCAGCTTGGGCCGCCGTCAGCCTGAGCAGGGTCGCTGCCCGGTGCTTGCTGGGGGCGCGAGGCCCCGGGGTACAGGCGGCACTTCCGCCCACCCTCGCGGCTTCCCAGCCTGAGCCCACAGGCTGTACCCCCACTCTGGGCAGGACGCTGCACCTCACCGCGGCGGTACCCGCCGGGCACAACAAGTGGTCCAAAGTCCGGCATATCAAGGGTCCCAAGGACGCCGAAAGGAGTCGCATCTTCTCCAAGCTCTGTTTGAGCATCCGCCTGGCAGTTAAAGGTAAGTCACCCGCTGCTGCCCTCTCTGCGCCCACAGCTAAACCGGGGCCCACCCCGAACCTTGGTCCTTCATATTCTTTTCCTAATTCCCACTTCATAAACGCTCAGGGTACCTACCTACATTATATGTCTCCACTCACCTTTCCAGATGCTGAGCATCGGCCTGCGTGGCAGGGAGTTGCTCTTAGGACGATAATGCTAAAAGTGACTTCATTCTAGTGTGTAGCCGGGTATTTCATGGAAACATACCCTAAGAGTAAGGTCACATGTGTATTTTGCCTGAAGAGACAAATCAAGCCCTCTAGGCCCCTCTGGTAGCACATAGGTTGTGGCAGGGGCATTGAGTAAATCTATTACTTGCCCAGTCTCAGTTTGCTTCATTAGAGTTTCCTAAGAAGACACATTTACTGGAAGGTAAGTTTGCAACCTTGTCTTTTTCAATTGTGTAGCCACTGCAAGAGGGCTTTTTTGTTTTTGTATTTAGTGTCAGATACCTGTAGGAGTGGAGAAAAAAGTCCTGTAAAAATCATGGACTTTGGGGTCAAGAAGACTTGGTTTCTGTCACTTACTAACTGTATGACCTTGAGCAAATGGCTTAACCTTGCTGAGTTTCAGTTTCCTTCTGTAAAACTCGACAGTACCCTCCGTATGGTCGTTTCTGGCACATAATAGGCACTCAGTAAATACTAATTTACCCCTAGAACTCATGCCTGATATTTGTCTTGGCTTCCTTCTAAATTCTTGGTAATTGAGATCAACACTATTGAGTGTTTGTTATATGCACTGGTAATACAGAATAATGAGGTATAGCCCCTACCCTGAGAGACAGCATGTGCTGTCATATGAGCATTTCAATAATTACACACAAAATAGTAGAGTCACAGCAAGGGGTATTAATAAGTCCAGGAAATGTTGGTACCATTTTCATCCCTTACCTCTTCATCTGATGCGACGTGGTATTTGCTTAAACCTAGCAGAAAGATACCCATCATTAAAGAGTGAATTAGAAACTTCTTTTCCAAAATACTTCTCCATATTCCATTTAAACTGAATAAATATTCTAAATTAACTGAGAGCCAAGTGGTGACTTGCTGCTCTTTTCGCTGGGGGTGGGTAGAATGGCAGAAATCCCTTCTTTCTCCCCGGCTGTAATGAGATGTGTTCACTCACTCTTTTCTCTCTATCTCAGAAGGAGGCCCTGACCCTGAGCACAACAGCAGTCTGGCCAACATCTTAGAGGTGTGTCGCAGCAAGCACATGCCCAAGTCAACGATTGAGGCATCGCTGAAAATGGGGGTGTGTCCTCAGTTTGACTTCTTGTTTTGATCACAGCCCCTCCAGGGCCCATGTCTGGAAGGCCACCCAACACTCCTTAGATTATCAGAGAGACGGGTAGCCTTGTGGTTGATACCCTCAATACAGAGCCTTCTGGTGGCTCTCTGACCTTGGGCATTGGTTATGGGAGTAAAATCAGGAATAGGATGAATAGACAATGTACAGAACTAGACGGCCTAGGACTACTCAGCCAGAGTGTGAGGAGGTGAGGCAGAAAGAAGGGGGTACAATGTGGGGAATGTTAGATTAAGGAAGGGTGTGTTTTTCAGGGATTTATGCCCTAAAGGAGAAGAGCCAGTAGAAAGGGAGATGGGGCATTAGTGATGGTGGGAGGGGCAGGGTTAGAGCCCAGTATTGGGAATTGTCTTTGAGCCCAAGTGAGAGGACACCTCTTCCTCTAGGACAGTAGGAAGGATTTGAGGAAGTGATAATCATCTTAATAGCTAATAATTATTGAGTGCTTACTCTAGGCCAAGCACTTTGATAAGAACTTTGTATGCATTATCTCACTGAATCCTCAAAACAACCTTAAGTGGAAACTGAGGCACAGAAAGATTAGGTGACCAAGTCCCATGGAAAATGACAGACTTGAAACCAGACAGACTCTAGAACCTGTTCTCTAACCATTATACACATGCCTTCATGTGGGCTTTGGTGCAGATAAAGTAGAAGTAGAGGATTTCTCTCCATTTGCTGGTCCTTTATTTTCTTTGTGAAAGAAGGAAGAAATTGTCATTTGAGAGTTCCTGGAAAGGCAACGGTGCTGGGAGAGAGTGGTGAAGGTCAGATGTGTGGGCAAGGGATGAGTGGAGGCGGCACGGGAGGTCCAATGAGATTGGTCACTAGACCTTTGATGAATTGTTTGAATTTTGTGGCCATGCTATTTTCAGTGGTTCTTATGATAGGGCCCAGGTGTGCTATTTCCTAAAGTGATACTCAGCACCCCAGGGGTAGGAGACTTCACAGGCGGGTTTCATGCGGGTTGGGTGTAGGGTGAGTCTTGGTAGGAGTGTGGGGGGTGGTGTGTGTGTTAGATGTGGGATTCAGCTGGGACAGGGAGGAAATGAAACTAGGAGATGAGTGATTGTTCAGGGACCAGAGAAACAGACTCCCCTCCCAGTAAGGGGTCGTACTTGTAATTACTTCAAAAGTTGGTCCCAAAGGGCCACCTCTCAGAGGTGGGGGGGGCGACAGTAAAGATTTGAGACCCTAAGCTGTACCCCAGAGTGCCCGTCCCGTGGAGTCAGTATCTGTGTTCTGGGCTGGGGTGCAAGAGGAAATTGGGAAACAGGAAAATGTGTTCATGTTGTTTATTGCAGAAAACCAAGGATGTTTATTTGCTGTATGAGGGCCGAGGCCCTGGTGGCTCTTCTTTGCTCATTGAGGCATTATCTAACAGTGGCTCCAAGTGCTATTCAGACATCAGACATATCCTGAACAAGAATGGGTAGGTGTAGGTCTGGGGAGAGTGGAAGGGTATGAAGACTTGAGGTTCCAATTCTTTGCAAGGAAAGTACAGTTGTTCCTGGTCATGTTTCAAGTTTTAAGCATACTTCATCCTTAGCAGAATCCAAATGGGATCATTTATTCTCCCTTAATTCATTCTGTACTAGGCAGAACCCAGAAGACTTGTTCATCAGGTGGAGAAGGGGCCCTTTGTCCCATTTTTCCCTTCTATAGCCATATGATGTCCAGGTCTTAAAATGTAGCACCAAGACTGGAATCTTAAATGATGAGCAACGTCTTTGCATCCACTAAACTGCAATCAGGGCAGAAAGAAGGGGATGGAGATATGTTTGGATTTTTCCCTTGCCTGGTGGTAGCTGCATATTCCCCTTCAGAAGTATGTATGTCTATATTCCAAAGGCTGGGTGAGAAATAGAGTGATTAGAATGTGGTGCTATGTGGGGGCTGAGTGTCTGCAGGCATTCAGTCTGGTGTGTTTCCTTTCCTTTGAGGGGAATGATGGCTGATGGAGCTCGCCACTCTTTTGACAAAAAGGGGGTGATCGTGGTTGGAGTGGAGGACAGAGAGAAGAAAGCTGTGAATCTAGAGCGTGCCCTGGAGCTGGCAATTGAAGCAGGAGCTGAAGATGTTAAGGAAACTGAAGATGAAGAGGAAAAGAACATTTTTAAAGTGGGTATGAAGCCTGGTGTTTGGTGGACTTTCGAGAGGATCCTAATAGATGCATTAAGGCATGCTTCTTTCTGTTTCTTCTTTCTCATGCCCTGGGGTACAAGTGACATAAAGAGTTCACGTATTGCATAAACATTTATTAAGTGAATACTAGATAGGGCTTCTCAGGACTATGAGAAGGATTCAGAACTCTGAAAACTGTATCTCTGCTAGTAAGAACTTAAACACAGTGATTCATACAGTAGTTCCATTCAGGTTTTGCAAAGTTCTGACTGGCTTTATTCTGCTATCTCCTGGCCCCTCACCTCTTGACTTTCTTTTGTCCCTAGTTTATTTGTGATGCCTCTTCACTGCATCAAGTGAGGAAGAAGCTGGACTCCCTGGGCTTGTATTCGGTGTCCTGTTCACTAGAATTCATCCCCAACGCAAAGGTGCAGCTCGCTGACCCCGACCTGGAGCAGGCCGCCCTTCTCATCCAGGCTCTTGGCAGCCATGAGGACGTGATCCAGGTCTATGACAACATTGAGTAACCAGGCTCTGTGTGCCCCCCGGGGGCCTTCCTAGGCAACTGGCAGCTCATTCTGGAGCACAGGCTTCTGCAGCGACTCTGAGACTGAAGCAGATTGGAGGCCTAGCAGGTTAGGAGGCATAAAACCAAGACCTGCAGCTTTTTGGCCAAGGGAATCACCATCTCTGTGGGGCCTCTTTGTCAGCTCTGCTGGTGTCTCAGAGCCCTCCTGGCTACAGGGTGGAGCCAGCCAGCTAACCAGACTCCCTGATCTTAGTAAGTTGTCCCTTGTGGGCATGGCAAGTGCCCTGAGGGCCTTTGTACTAGAAACTGCTCTTAAATAATGTAACTGATCTGAGTTGCTATACTCCTGTTGTGTGACTCTTGAGTTTTCCTGGGTTTTTGTCCAGCTGTGGGGATGCTCTTGACTTCCTTTGAAGTCTATAGGTTTAGTTCCACTACTCCAGTCCCAGGCCTTTTTTTTTTGACCAGAGAAATGTAGCTCTCTACAGGCACCACTCTGTGCTCTAATGCTGGTCTGGTGGCCTAAACCTGTCATTAATCATGCAGATAGTATTTGTCAAAACACCTGTGTACCAGGAACTGTACTTAACCAGGAGCACAAGCTGTTTAGTTGGTGCCGTGTTAGATCCTGCTCTAAGACATAGGACCTCAGAGGTCAGACACAGGACTGCTGTCTGCTGGAACTACCCTAGGGCAGTGTGAACTGCTGTGCACGCGTCCATGTTCTCTTCTTGTGGCCTCTGTGCCCTCCTTCGCCAGATAGCTTAAGGCTCTAACACAGTAGGAAATCAAGTGCCAATGATAAGGGACTCCCAGGCCCTGCTTCACGCAGGCCCCATGTGTTCTGAGATTGGTCAGAGCAGACCTGTCAGCAGATTGGACTGCTCTCAGGAAAGGCTACGCCAAGCTGGCTCTGAAAGCTACTTGATCGCCAGAATGCCCACCCTAGCTCCTTTTCATCCCTGCTGCCAAATGATGCGGCACTGGGAACTGGAGAGGAAATGAGTGTAGAAGGAGGGTGAAGGACTGAGTCAGAGCCTGGCCAGCTGGGAAAGAGGACCCTTCGTACCTTTGGCTCCTAAGTGTCACTTTTGGGTTTAGAGAGACCAGGAGTGCCAGTCACCTGTGCTGGGGCCCGTCACACATGTCAGGCCTGGAGTGGCTTTTTGATCATTTATTCTCCCTTAATTCGTTCTGTACTAGGCAGAACCCAGAAGACTTGTTCATCAGGTGGAGAAGGGGCCCTTTGTCCCATTTTTTCCCTTCTATAGCCATATGATGTCCAGGTCTTACAAAGTAGCACCAAGACTGGAATCTTAAATGATGAGCAACGTCTCTGCATCCACTAAACTGCAATCAGGGCAGAAAGAAGGGGATGGAGATATGTTTGGATTTTTCCCTTTCCTGGTGGTAGCTACATATTCTCCTTCAGAAGTATGTATGTCTATATTCCAAAGGCTGGGTGAGAAATGGCTTTTTGATCCCTGTTACTCACCTACTCATAAGTCGTGTAAGCCAGTTCTGAGATCGGAGTAATTTTCCTGAAGGAGCTTCAGGTAAATGAGAACAAAAACCAGATTGGCTGGCTATAAATATTCAGCTTCTAGGAAAAACAGATTCCATAATTCCATGATGACTTTAACAGTTGGAGAGCAAAGGCTAAGGAAAGAAAAACCAATGAAATAACCCACGAAATGCCAAAGCATATCTCTTATACCTAATTTCATAATCATGATACCACCTGGCATTCTTTAGTTTTTTTTTTTTTAAGATTTATTTGTGAGCGAGCGAGCAGGGGGAGGAGCAGAGGGAGGGAGAGAGAATCCCAAGCAGGCTCCACACTCAGCGCTGAGCCCAACGCAGGGCTCGATCTTACGACCCTGAGATTATGACCTGAGCTGAAATCAAGAGTTGGATGCTTAACCAACTGAGCCACCCAGGTGCCCCACATTCTTTAGTTTTTAAAGGAGATAACTCATCCAAATAGTGCATTTTAAAGTTTAAGTGCTGCTTTGTAATTTATAAGATACTTTTACATGTTATTTAATTTTCACAGCAAACCTATAAAATAATCAGGCCAAGTATTTTATGCACAAATGGTCTCATAGCCAAGCAGGTGAGAATAGGTCTCATACTACACCTTGCGTTGATAGACCTTGGTTTATAAAAATAGCTGTTTTGTAAATGTTGAATATAATTATAATTTTGGAAGAATCTGATAATTTCTGATCTGAGAAATCTGCACCAGGAGAGTCTGCTCTGGAAGGGAACTTGGCTGTTCATGTGAATAGTCCTCTGATTAATAGATAGGATTTGCTAATAAGGATTTTTGTGTAACCAGTTTTCTTACAGCAAGGCTTTGAATGGCTCTGCACTGACCCCTGGTGGTGCCCTGCAGTCTTTCCTGTGGCTAATATGGGAAAGGCAGAAATGAAGCCTTATTTGGACCTGTTCTGCCTCTAAGTCTGCTAAAGAGACCCTTAGCTACATAGGTTAAATGGTTAAGTAACTGTTTAACTGAATAGTTAAGTAGAGAGGATATGCATTATTCTGCCACTAAAAATTATTTTTTGAAGAATATTTTATGTCAGGAAATGTTTACAATGTAAAGTGGAAAACAAAGATGTAAAGCTATGTGTATAATATGGTCCAAATTTTAAAAATATAGTCATACTTTATCTATGAACTCTAAAAGAAAAAGACTAGAAGGAAGTGTATCAGAATCTCAAAACTGGTTATCTCTGGGTGGTGATGTTATCACTGAGTTTTATTTTCTATACTCATATATTTTATCAGGGGAAACATTTTTAAAAAAAGAAAACTAGTCACATTATTGTCCAGCTAGGGCGACAGCCGGTGAGAGGCCAAGAACCAGGCATACCTTAAACTCCAAAGAATGAGATCTGGTCTTGGCTTGGCCTTATCTTTGGTCATTGTCTTAGCAGACAGAATCATTCAATGCTTTGCAGCTGGCTTCAGCTAACTTTCAAGTGACCTTTCCATGGGATGGGAGTATTTGTGACAGGTTCCGTCCATAACCTTGACTCTCGCAAGAAGCGTTCACGTGGTATGTAGCCACCTTCCCTCTGCCAGAGGCCCCAGCTAAATCGAACAGGAACCATGAAGGCTCTGCTTCCAGCCCACAATGGAAATTCAGCCATGGCCTGAGTTACTCTTTGTTTTGTTTTGTTTTGTTTTGTTTTATTCTCTGAAACTTAGAGCACAACAGTCAATAAAACTTCACACTTGAAGAAACCCCAACTTGTAGACTTTTATTTGAATCCCTGGGGACTCCTCTGGAGCCATTCTGAAGAGGAAATAAATAAGCCAATAGGTCTGGCAAGAGCGAATGTTATGATAGATACCACACTAGTCTTGACCGGAACCGCTTTCTCCCCCTTATGCCCTCCCCAGACGCTGAACAGGATAGTAGTTTTTGCTTTTCCTCTTTTTGTCTTTCTTTTGTCCATGTGAAAGAGGTCTGTGTTTTTTGAATGAATAAGTGACCCTCAAATGGGGGGATTCCCTACCCCCTTCCTCCTCTAAGATATAACCACCATTAACAATCTACTCTGTATTATTTTACTCCTTGGAACCACTGTGCTGGGGAACAGATTTCAATTCTGCCAATTGCCAGCAACCTTGGACAAAAATTTAACCTCTTTGCACCTATTTCCTCATCTATAAAATGAGGACAATAGTACCTATATCATAGGACTATTTTAACAAGTAAGTAAGTTAACATACGTTAAGCACTTAAAACAGTGCCTGGCAATAGTAAGTGCTCAATAAATGTTGGCCTTTCCCCCACCCCCACTAAGTATGAATGAACATTTTTTAAAACTGAAATGTGATCACCTTCTACATTTCTGCTTTATAAGTTTTTTTTGTTTTTTTCATTTCACAATGTATCCTGGATGCTGTAATGAACATTACTTACCTTTGCTCACTTGCCTAGTGTTCCTTAGGATAAATTTATAGAAATGGAATTTCTAAATGAAAAGCAATTTTTCCCTATTAGTTAATGTCAATAATATGTAAAATATCATGGTTGTAAAAATTTCTCTGAGGTAGACATCATTCCCTAATAATGCAGATGAAATAACTGGTTGAACTAGTGATCTGAATATATTCTTTACCTCTGAATTAAAAGGACTTTCATTAGGGGCACCTGGGTGGCTCAGTTGGTTAAGCGTCTGCCTTCAGTTCAGGTCTTGATCTGAACTGATGATCGAGCCTTGCATTGGGCTCCCTGCTCAGTGGGGAGTCTGCTTCTCCCTCTGCCCCCACCCCCCCACTCATGCTCACTTTTTCTTCTCAAATAAATAAAAATAAAATCTTAAAAGAATTTTCATCAAATCAGGTGGTAGCTTTGTTGGGTTTTCTCTTCTTTTTTTTTTTTTTTTCAGAGAGCATGCACATAAGCAGGGGTGGCGGGCAGAGGGAGAGAGAAAGAGAATCTTAAGCAGGCTCCACACCCAGCTTGGAGCCTGACGCAGGGCTCAGTCTTGACCCTGAGATCATGACCTGAGCCAAAATCAAGAGTCTGACCCTTAACCAACTGAGCCACCCAAGCACCCCTTGTTTTCTTGTTTAATACCAAATTCATTGAGCTATCCCGGAAAAGAATTCATTCATGTTTATTATTCCCTATCTCGTGTCCAACTATCCCTATGCTCTTGAAAGAAAAAAAGGAAAATGTTCAGCTGGTCTATCAGGCTGCCTGAAGCCCTGAGCATTAGGGGCAGGTTGTGATCCTTGGGATCAGGTATGACTCAGGTACTTAACCAGGGGCATCTACTCAGTGTGAAACCGGGGGAACAGACTTGAGAAGGCATGGCCCAGATGGGAGGCTTCACATGGGGAAAATGAAGAGTGAGGAGAGAAACAATATAGAAAGAGAAAAAAATAAACTAAAAGGGCACACTTGTGGAGATTACATTCAACTACTAACATCCCCAGTTGAGGTTCACTTATTCAAGAAAATGTTTTTTAAATGAAATGTTTGTTTTTTGATTGTACTGTGAAAAATGCTAGGCATACCAATTTGAATGACAGCTTCTGTCTCTATGCTTACTTCCTTAAAGGCAGTTACAACAGAGTGGGATAGGTGCTTTGATAAAGA